CTCACTGGATATCACATAGAACAAGTATACTTCCCTGTGACAACAGCAATACTTAACAACACATCTACTAATGGTTTTACTTTACAACTTACTCGCTGTACTACTAGTACTTACTAGTTGTATGCCCCAAACCTATTAAAGTGGGTTCGAATTTGAGTGTGGTTACAGGTTTATCAGTACATACACCGCTTCCTGGGCTTCACAATATGGTGAACGTCTGAGACTTGCAACACGTCGAACTTTGCTTCATACCAAGCCGTGATATTACTGAAAGTATGTACAATGTGGCTGTCACCAAACTCACTCACTTAATCAATGCAACTTGCATACAACATAGAGCGTGAATGTGTCTTCTTATTCCGTATTCAAATGTGTGGATAGTTATACTCGAAGTAGCAGTTTTGTTTAAAAGTTTGGTTTGTGTTCGAAACCGAATAGGAAATAAATAAAGAACTTACATCACGTACGAAGATTGTTCATGATTCACCTGTGTTATGGATATCACTTTACAGCAATACAGACAAATATCTCTTCAGGCGATCGCGTGTATGTACTAAAATACGCGTGATATCAGATTGAAAGCTACGGGACATACGAGTTTGTGCCTCTCTCACTGGTGTCCCACTTGCGACATACAATAATGCATTCATGTACAGACCCGTGAAGATTCCGGGGTAGAATAGATCTTCAGCAACCCATACTTGCCGTAAAAGGTGACTATGCTTGTCGTAAAAGACGACTGACGGGATCGGGTGGTCAGGCTCGCTGACTTGGTTGATGCATGTCATCAAACCCAATTGCGTGGATAGATGCTTATGATATTAATCACGGGATTGTCTTGTCCAGACTTGATTATTTACAGACCGCCGTCATATAGCCGGAATATTGCTGAGTGCGACGTTAAACAACAAACCAACCAACCAACCAAGCATTCATGTACATAAACAGTGTTGGAATGTTTGAGCACATTCAGTACATAAGCAACCATATATGATTATCTTGTAATGTTAATTAATGTTTCTTCCTTAAAGTAGGTCAATACTGGATTCTGATTGGCCAATCAGATGTATAAAATCAAAATAACCACCTCTGACTAAAGCAGCCGATTTTACGACCGTGTATCACCAAGGCAGGAACGCAGTCAGTTTTCTCAGTCATTGGTTGTAGGCACTTTCAAATGATTATATGTATAAATATATTGCAGATTTGCGGTAACCATTAAATTCAAAGTATGTGTGATAATACGTTTTGTGCAGAAATCGACGGGGTAGTTAATGTTTTGGGATATTAGAACGCTGGTGCATATCACTATTTTGACTTGTCCTTTATGGTCCCATATTTTTTCAGGTGAACAGTTGATTTGACTTTGCACGTGTTTGTGACTGGTACCGCCAGTGGGGAAGGATAGGCTTACCTTTTCGCGAAATCCTTGTATCATCTCTGTTTGATTGTGATTCATTAATACACGTTGTCGGTATCGTACAATGGACTGCTTTCAGCAGATATTTCTTACGATCATGGGGAGGGATTCTGTGGTTTACTGTTGAAATTTGGTGCCTTTGTGTTAGCGCATGTGACGTAATATTTTCTGCGTCCCAAAGAGCGGTGTGATGTCACAATAATCAGGCGAGGTGCACAACTAAACATTGCAAGGTTTTGTTACTCTTCTTTGGGGGTGCCCATTTAATGCTGGCTCATGACGTAGCTCTGCAGCTACATGGGTTCTGTGCGTATTTTGTGGCAGTTTATAAAGTTATCAATTTGTTAATCATCCTGTTATCATCATTGATTATATTACTTGTTATTGGTTTCATATTTTGACGCCACCATGTTGACAGTCAGTCACCCGCACACCCGCCATGTCAGGCGACCGGGAAGTTGTTTATGCTTACACAGGCGGTTAACACGGGACGGGTGTCTCTGTCATTACAAAAAGGTCCTATTGACATCAGGACAAAATAGAAATATTAACAGTGATCGTCAGGTAGCTTGGGTGATGAATCAACATGACTATTTACAAATCATCTTGAATGCTCATTCACGTACACAGTGTCACTATAAAAGGGTGTGTACTATTTAAACTGTGAAAATTTGAAAACCCATGAACAGAACATTTGTTGCGAATATAATTCAGGGGTAGTTGTAAACATATCTGTGTACCTGTGTCAGCTTAGTCTTGAAGTAAAGGCATACGTGAATCAGGTCAGTGAGGTGTATTCTTTGAAACGGTCTTGAACGGTCCTTAGAAGCCAAGAATCATAATAAGTGCATATCAAGGATCCAGGATTCTGGCACGCCTAAGTCACCTAACTCTGTACAGAGATTTGCGGGCCTGAGACAATTAGTATCCATGCCATCTTCCTGGTTGCTGCTGTAGTATCACACAATGTCTGTGTTGTATTCACACAATGTCTGTGTTGTATTCAAACAATGTCTGTGTTGTATTCACACAATGTCTATGTAGTATTCACACAATGTCTGTGTTGTATTCACACAATGTATGTGTAGTATTCACGTATGTCGTGTTGTATTCACACAAGGTTCCTATATATCAATGACTATAAATGTACTTAGATAAACAGTATACATGTAAGTCTATACATGTTGATCTGTGTGTGTGCATCAATTGTGTGGCTATTATCATGGTCTCGCTATACATGTATACATGTGTGTGTGCGTCAATTGTGTGGGCATCCATTATCATGGTCTCGCTATACATGTATACATGTGCGTGTGCATCAATTGTGTGGGCATCCATTACCATGGTCTCGCTATACATGTATACATGTGTGTGTGCGTCAATTGTGTGGGCATCCATTATCATGGTCTCGCTATACATGTATACATGTGCGTGTGCATCAATTGTGTGGGCATCCATTACCGTGGTCTCGCTATGCATGTATACATGTGTGTGTGTGCGTCAATTGTGTGGGCATCCATTACCATGGTCTTGCTATACATATATATATGTGTGTGTGCATCAATTGTGTGGGCATCCATTACCATGGTCTCGCTATACATGTATATATGTGTGTGTCCATCAATTGTGTGGGCATCCATTACCATGGTCTCGCTATACATATATGTATATGTGTGTGTGCATCAATTGTGTGAGCATCCATTACCATGGTCTCGCTAAACATATATATATGTGTGTGTGCGTCAATTGTGTGGGCATCCATTACCATGGTCTTGCTATACATATATTTATGTGTATGTGCGTCAATTGTGTGGGCATCCATTACCATGGTCTCGCTATACATGTATACATGTGTGTGTGCATCAATTGTGTGTGCATCCATTACCATGGTCTCGCTATGCATGTATATATGTGAGCGTGCATCAATTGTGTGTGCATCCATTACCATGGTCTCGCTATGCATGTATATATGCGTGTGCATCAATTGTGTGGGCATCCATTACCATGGTCTCGCAAAACATATATATATGTGCGTGTGCATCAATTGTGTGTGCATCCATTACCATGGTCTCGCTATACACACATATATATATGTGTGTGTGTCCATCAATTGTGTGAGCATCCATTACCATGGTCTACATGGCCTCGCCATGGCATTTCAACATGTCGACAATATCTGACATAAAGCGAGAAAAAAACTTTTGACAGACAGTGTGGTTGTGTAATCAGGATTCCCAACATTCAGTCGTGATTAAAGTAGTCCGTTTTGGTGGGCGTGGTTTAATATATTTACATTCATTGGTAAATGAAAGCAATATCGCGTGACCAATGAAGCTATTCAGAATGCAGGTATTACAATGAACACAACGGAAATGTAATTATGTTACATCATGTGTATAAAGAAATATAAATGCATCGGATACGATGGGCAAAGTCAACTTGGCTAATCTACTAATCATGCGATCCTCATCTGACGCCTTCACATTTTTTTTATAATGCATATGTACAAAGTGAAATAGGGATGATCAACATTGATAAAGTAAACTAATTGTGTTTTGTGGAACAAGAGTTTGATTATCAAGACAGGAAAATTGTCTTTAAAATCGTGAAATGATGTACACTGGAAGTATCTAGGGCTCGTGGATACTCGCAAATTGATCTGGACAATAGCTTGTAAAACCCCATCTGAACAAACTCAGGAAAACGCTATGGGCAGTTCTGTGGTTGATAAAAAGGATGAACATTCAATACTCTTTATATTAATTAGAAGACTGAACCACTCCGTCTGTACGTTGCAGAGGTTTGAGGCCTTCCAGGGAAGGGAAAAAATTGAACTAAACCGCTAAACCTTCATACATGTATTTCTATTTCTATTTCTATGGGGCACAGGGCAGCCGATGTGTCAGGGTCCTATTTACATTCTATTTACCATATCACATGTATAAATATTTCTGGGAATTCTACAAATCCACCCAGACCAGTAGAATTGAATGTTATTGTCAATGTTTATAGAAAACGCAATATGGCTATGTGAGCAATGTCATAGCGGCTTTGGTGTCAGTGGCATTACACGAGATGTTCAAATCTATTTATATTTAAAGTGAGTGAAATAGAGACTATGTCATTCAACACGTCAATATTACGATAAACTTCAAACTTGATGTAATCTCAACTATATGCATAATCTTCAGAACAAATCAACCTCCTCCGTGGTCTAGTCGTAGAGCGTCCGCCCGGAGAGCGGTAGTCCGGGATTAGATCCCCGCTCGCGTCATACCAAAAGACGTTAAAATATTGTACTTGTTGTTCCTTTCTGACGCTCGGCGTAAGGGGGCTAAAAGAAGGACTGGTCGGCTCGGAGTCAGTATACTGTGTCTGAGTGGGGCATTCATGTTAAACTGTTGCATGGTATCTCAGTGAGCTAGCACTATAAATCGGCATTAGTCCGGACTAGTACAAGCAGTCCACACACGTGCATGCACGTCTCTATATAAGTGCAATAATCTTGCACGCGACGCTGAACCCAATTTCATCTCACCTTCAGAACAAATCTCAAATAATATATATAATAAAAAATAAAAAAAATGGTGTAGTTTTGGTCGGACGAATCCCAATGTAAAAAGATTCTGTCAAGCTGAAATACATGGAATCATGTGCCAATAATACAAAGACACATAACATGTCGACATGAACAAAGATGAATGTCTCGTGTACATGTCAATGAATCATGTATGTGAGGTTATATCGTTCACACACTTTATGTCAATCAATTGGAAGAAATGCTGGACCTGTTTCAATCGTATCTCTCAGCTTGGATAAACTCCTTATCGGCAATATCAAACGTCACAGATGAAGTGTGAATGAGTGAGTCAGTTAACTGATTAGGTCGCATCAGCAGAGCTATGCAATCTTGCCCAGTTCACTATATTCACCAATCATATCACGTGATGTGCTGTCAAGTGTTTCATACGTTCGTGGTTCTGTTGGCTCGTATATATCTCGATCTGTCATTTCAGCCACTTCAGCAGCTGCCCCACCCTCCAGATCTGGCTTCTCTGTGTTAAGTGTGCAATATGTCTCTCCAGTTCCCTGGATTTCACGTGACATGACATTGAGGCCATCGTATGTTCGTTCTTCAAGTTGAGTTTCGTCGTTGTCTCGTGATTGTTTTGTTTGAACCTTTGCCAGATGACTTGTGTTGTAGTAATCATTGGAGTCAGATTCCTGCAGCGATGGTCTGAAAATAGGGATATATGAAACATCAGGAATAAAATCTTAACGTTAATTCATGGCTCTACCCACCTAATCCATGTGATAAGAAGCTAATAGTTTTATCACATTACGATGTTTTTGAAAATCATAATATCATCACGTGTACTGGAAATGTAATCAATTGTTCAATTTGATTGGACCAGAGATTAAGTACCTTCGTCTCCTTCTCCAGCAAACAACACCCACGACAACTGCTGCAACTACAACGACAACAATTGTTGTCACTGTCACTGCAGGTATAAGTGTTTCCTCACCCCCGACTGGGTTGTTTTCCTGAGGTACATGTAAAGATGCAGGAAAAGAAGTTATACTTGTAATGTGGTAATGACAAATTGGATAATGGAGAATAATATACTGTGTTATCACAAGTTTGAATATGATCATTTTTGCAGATACTATTTTTTCTTATGATTGAAGATCAATCATATCTGTCACAACACTTATATTCTTAATGCTTGTCTTATATTCAATCTCTTCGTTTAAACGTTTGCAGTACATAATCCCTTCTTAAAGACACCTTCCGAACCTTCTGATGCATTCCAGTCGTCACATTTAGAAGATCAATCAGGTTTGTATTCAACGTAGATGTTTTGAACGTAGATTTATTAGTGATAGGCCAAATAGTTTCAGCGGGTTGAAAAAGCGAATTCACGTTTAAAGATCATGTACCTAAACCATAATTGTCACCATTATACTTAAACCACTCCACTGAGACACAATACAACAACGAAGGCAGATATCCTGAAAGCTTAATTCAAACTGACATCCCCAGAGAAAATGACGCGACCTTTGTAATCTATGATGACGCTATGAAGATCTACAGATTGAAAACCTAACATTTAGACAAGGTAGACATAACGTGAAAGTACGTGAAAGAGTATCACCATGTTGATGTTACTTAATTTTGCAATACACTCTCAATCTTGAGATATGTTGATACACTTGCTGTAAATAATGTGAGAACTGAACTATTTAGCAGCATTAATGAAGTAAGATCAGTGTTTGAAATCATGAAACGGGCGGGTTTGCGGAAGAAGTGCTTCTAAATAAATATTTTTTTTATCAGTATTTCGATCAACAACAAAAACACTGACTGTCCAGTCAGAATGCTGCATTATAAAATTTCAAGGTAGAATATTGTGGAAGCCACCATACTTTGGGTTCCATTGTTATTTTGAGTTCCCTTCCGAAAGAAATTTGAGCTAGTAACATATAGGTTACCTTCTGATTTACGTGTATCACAACCACTGTACCTCCCTACCAGTCGGCATTCCGGCATGGTGACGTTACATCACTAAATGCAGGATGTTCACCGTGGGACTCACCATCTTCAGAAAATACTCATTGCCAGTAAATCTAAAGAATTATTGTTCTGTTCCGAAATTTGTACACCGCTTTGGACAGCATGGTGGAGAGACCGAGGATCACTGTCATACAGACTCCGACTTTCATTTCATTCATAGTTCAAGTTATTTACAGTTGACAATCTAGGTTTAAGTATAATATGTATATAAATACATTTCAAATTTACTGTGAAGTGATTGCTAAACTGTTTACTTTATAATGTTCTATTTTGCATTATTTCAGCAAACAATGAACACAATCAATGGTTATTGTTGTGATAGCCGGATTTACCAATACATACTAAAACTAAGATATACTAACCCTTATCTGTAGATACCTAGCACGTGTGTTAATCTGTGATGTTTATATGTCCGCTGGGGTCGCATGTATCCTTTAACACAGCCGGAGAAACACTCACCTGAACATTTATTATTCATCCTCGATGCTTGAGAATATGTATGGTCACCATGGCTATCCAAACACATTTTCCTTATTAAAGCAATGGTGTTTTTACCTGTACAGTCCGTCTGCGTCCACCCTGTCTCACACCCGGTGTCACAGCCCCCTGTTGAGTTACAGGAAGAGCTCCCCATACAGTGTCTGGAGGCACAGGTCTTGATACAGTTAGGCCCGTAGTGCTGGCTGTCACAGGCTAATAACACAAAAGCAAATCACTTGTTCAACAATCAGGAGATCAATACTTCATTTTGTTAGATTTGTGTGATGTGATGTAACCATTAGTCCCAGTGTCTCTTTACTATCTGAAATATGTTTCCAGTAGCACAATACAAGTTTGTTGTATACCTGTATAGTCAGGTTGTGTCCATCCTGCCTTACATCCACATAGTGCCCTGTTGTGTTACAGGATGGGTCCCCATACATTGTCTGGAGATACAGGTCTTAATACAATTATCTCCGTAATGTTGACTGTGTACTATCGATATGCACTGCATTCATCACTACAGATCGAATCCTCTTGGAATTGGCATACAGAATCATACCTGTAGAGTCGTCCAGCGTCCACCCTGTTTATTAAAATTAAATAATGCACTAATTGATTGACCTCACAGATTTACCCTGGACACAGTCTAATGCACTAATTGATTGACCTCACAGACTTACCCTGTACACAGTCTAATGCACTAATTGATTGAAACTCACAGACTTACCCTGTACACAGTCTAATGCACTAATTGATTGACCTCACAGACTTACCCTGTACACAGTCTAATGCACTAATTGATTGACCTCACAGACTTATCCTGTACACAGTCTAATGCACTAACTGATTGACCTCACAGACTTACCCTGTAAACTGTCAAATGCATTAATTGATTGACCTCACTTACTTACCCTGTACACAGTCTAATGCACTAATTGATTGACCTCACAGACTTACCCTGTACACAGTCTAATGCATTAATTGATTGACCTCACATACTTACCCTGTACACAGTCTAATGCACTAATTGATTGACCTCACATACTTACCCTGTACACAGTCTATGCCCATCCATCCTGGTTTACATCTGGAAACACATTTTCCTGTCACATGATCACAGGGCGAGTTTCCTGCACAGTTTCTCTCAGTACATAGCAAGCTGCAATTCTGTCCATAGGTCCCAGGGTAACATTCTGTGAAAGTATAGTGATATCGTCATATGTGCAAAGTTGCATCTAGATTGACCTAACATGTACATCACGAGGGTGACGTGTGTGCATATGTACACATACTACACGTTCAACTTTCTGTACACAGTAATCTACGTGACAATGCAACGTTTAAACATTATTTGTATCTGTCTATTTACACAGAAGAGTGATGATGGTGTACCCTGTTTACAGTCCACCTCTATCCACCCAGGAAGGCACCCAGTGTCACATGACCCTGTATGCCGGTCACATGACGGCGGAGCAGCAGCACATTTCCTATTTCCACATGTCTCGTTACAGTTGACGCCATATTGGTCCTTATCACACGCTAGAAATGAAAGGCATCGTACGTCTTCAGCGTGTGTTGAGAGAATGATCAGAATCATTCGGAACATGAGGTAAATGGTTATCATTATACATTTATTATTAAGACATAGGTATTCATGTTTACATCATTTATCTCATACAAGAAATATATTTATATTACGGCACTGATTATGTTTGTTCCTCACCGGTAGAACAGTTTTGGCCCTGCCACCCTGGTTTACAGTCACCAGCACAGATCCCACTGAATCTGTCACAGGGCCCGTCAGAACAATGGCAGAAATGGTTGCAAAGTTCGCCAAAGGTTCCGTGACTGCAGACTAAAAAAACCAGCATTGACGTTGTTCATGTTGGTCGTTAAGAAATAAGAACTGTACGTTGACGTTGATCGTAGAAATTACAAATAAGTGTCAGATGTATTGTGGAAGCAAAGAGATCTGAAAGTCATAGATGTTTTCACTTTGGTGAAACACATAAACCCTAGAATGCCGCAGACCATAATCAGGCGATCAGAGGATGAATTATGCACAGTGAGCTGACGACTCCTGGCATCCGGGCATCAAGAACTTGAATACTAGTAATTCAAAGATCTTATGTGTGTTACAAGTATTAGTCTATTTATGTAACATGGGTTCTTTCTACGAAGGAACAATGTCTATAGCAACACATCACAGAGGGGCAAACGAAACTCAAAATATCCCTTGCATAACACTGCCTCCTGATTAAACAGTCAGGGTGGAATGGCATATCTGATTCAAAGATAGATCAACAAAACAAACAAAATGTTTATCAATACCAAAGATTTCCACCTCACACAGATTTAGCGCCGTTGTGCTGTGTGTGATGGCGAAGTATCTCCCTGTGCCGTCACACGTCACGTCGTACACGCTGTTGTCTGTTTCAGCTGTGTCGGAGGGGAAGGTGTAGCAGGTGACGCCGGGTGTGGAGCTGCTGGAGTTACTCAGGGAGAGGACAGCAGTTCGGAGTCTCCAAATATCTGAAATGGTGATCATTATAAGGCGACAAAAAATCATAAATCATATCTGATAAAAGCAGAGTCGTTTGTGCGATTCCGACTATAACATAAGCATGTATGTAAGACATAGTTGTCCCCTTTTAAGAAATTATGTTCTCAAATTATATATCCTGTGTATGATATGTCAGTAGAAACTATGCGCGTTTCATATCTCATCAAAACTAGCAAGATTTTTGTGATGTTTTGGGTGGTGGAACATTCACATAAACGAACATACACCAAGCACTTGTGAAAACTGTGATAGCATATTGTTGATACTATGTCTTGCATCTAGTTAACGTAGAATTCAGGTGCGACATAGCTTTGTGCGTTAATATGAAATTTAATGATCAATGCAAGAGACTAACCAGTTTAGATTTCCGCTTAACAGATTCAATTTGGCGGAAAGGGCAAAATAGCTGTAAAAATTATGATTATATAAATGGAACGCTGAAAATATGTGGTGACACTAAGTGTTCAAAATACATCATACTCTGCTTCTTCCATTCCACAGAGGAGATTCTGAATTAATCATAAGAATATAGTTATTCTTTGAGACAAATATTAAGGGAGACAGCTATTGTTTGACAAATGTAAATTCAAAGGGGAACTGGAACTGCAACCTGTAAATTTCGGGGTATTGTGTTCTTTTTCCGTTTGACTTTAGTTATGAATAATGAAAATATGACAAGCGAGGGGACACAATATCCATGTATGTGCTTATAGTCAAATATACATGTACGTCCACTAACTAGGATCCTATCAGAGTCTTCAGGATGATGCAGAGCAAATACCTCAAAATGGAATAGTTCGTCAATGTGTTTAAGGAAAGGTACTGACATATTAAAGGAATAACAAGCCAGACATTATAATAAGCCGGCGCCCTAAGTACAATGCATAAAGATGCCCTAAAGAAGTAAGATGCACATGTGATTTTATTATGCCTCAAAATGAGATTGACCAATCAGAGAGCAGAACTAATGACCCCATATGAGCCCGTATACCGTCAGTAAAATACCAAGATGGATGTTACTGGCACTAATATGAGACCGTATACCGTCAGTAACAGCCATCTTGGATTTTCCAACACTCACCTCACATATTTCACATGAGCATTCTGGTACAGAAGTTCTTTATTCGACACTATTTAGTATTTTAATATAATCAATTTTGATGTGCAAGGACATTGATAATTATTTATCACCTTTACCACCTTATCATGCCATGAAGATGATCAAAATATTACATGTAAAAAAGGGAAATTATTCATTTGAAAACCAAACAACCACTCACCAAATTACCACATATGAAATCTACATTTGCTAAGATATCCTGATGCAGATGGTATGAAATAGAGTATCTACATTACATCTTGCTTATATGGGTCTGGAGTTCTGTTCTGTTAATATGTTTACATAAGATAAATGTCAGTACATGACACATTTGAATGTCTCTACAGCCCAAATATATCACATACATACATACAATTTACTCGGTTGTATATCCTGACGTCGTGTATCCTGTACGGTTGTCCCAGGTCCACTGTCCACACACTCGGATAGATAGTAGAAGAGTGGAAGCAGGAGTCGTGTTCCAAATCCTAGTCCCGGTTCCCATCTACAGCTTTGTCTGCAGACCACGCAGCCCGCCAGACTCCAGATTGAGATGTGGCTGATTTTCCTTTGGCAATGTTTTCTGTTTGGATATATATATTTTCAAAGACATGTCATACAAAGACTTGACCTGATCAGAATGGTTAATATTGTTCAGAAGGAGATGGATCAATTGGTGAGGCCGATGTTATGCATAATAAAGACAATGTTTATTCGGTTTGCCGAGCTGTTTTCTCGTTTTAATAATTTTGGACATAAAACTATGAATAAAAGGTATCTTCATAGAAACGAACGTGACATGTCCCTCATTTTGTGCAAGAAGCAGGATTTACGTTTGCAAAGTTTCAACATTAAAATGTTTAAACGACTTAATATGAGGTAAAGTAAATGCTGAAACTTTGATGGAATTTGATCTTGATATATCCTGTAGGACAGTGGTAAAACCTACTGTTAAAGACAAGTGGAATATCATGACTGTTTGAATATATTCACACTATGTCACATATAAATATTTTCTTTTCTGCAGCATTCTGAAACATTCTGAAATATGGAATTCTGTGATGACCCTCCCAACGTTAGTGGATGGATTATAAAGATATATACCTACAGGTAACTTACTAAATGGTTCTGTAATGGGTAAGTGTGTCACAGTGAGTGAGTGAGTGAGTGAGTGAGTATGGTTTTACACCGGTTATAGCAATGTTCAAGCAATATCACGGCGGGGGACACCAGAAATGGTCTTCACACATTGTACCCAATGCGGGATTCGACCCCGGGGCTTCGACGTGACGAGCGAACGCTTTGACCACAAGGCAACTCCGCCTCCCGGATGTGTCACAATCTGATTGGATGAAACAATAGGATTCAAAGCCTGGGAATCTTCCCGACTTTTCACTGCGTGCGAAATTTGAAATTGCATTTGGCATTGCGACATAAATGTCGCATCAATCATAGAATTTCTTTGATTAAAAGTAAAATAAACGTCTTCGAGAGTGTATACAGCACTCTGTTAACCTTGAGGCTTAATTTGTCATTCATTGCATCATAACTTCATCATAACGTAATGGCATACCAGAGTGACAACATGTATGTCTCACAGCTGTTGGAGTACCCGGCGAAAGAGAATATTATGGAAATCAACGATAACTTTTATATTACCGTGTTGATAAACATTATGTGCTCTCATATTTTAGGTGTCATTGAGGATTCAATGCACAGCAGTTGGAACATTTGAAACCTACTTCATTCAATATAAAGTCTCAGGGAGCCATTAAACTAACACATGTAAATATATAACGTCAACTCCAGAGGCTTGCCTCGATCCTCCGCCTGGCGCAAAAGGCAACACAGCGGGGACAACTACACGAATGGATCACTGAAAATTAGTAATGACACCAGGAGTTCACGAAAAAGGGAAATCATATCCTGCTCTACTGGTAGCACCTGCCACTCACACAATTTCCATAAAATGTAAGTAAACTAACCAGAATCAAATATATTCTAGCTCATCTGAATCAAAACTGATTCTTTTCAATATCGGAAATGTCATTAACCATGTCTTGTGTTTATTTTGCATCACAGGCAACGTTGATACTTCCACCTTATCGACTGAAAAGTAAATCTACCATATTAGTGTAATATGTCACCATAAGAGTACATGCAGTTATAAATGTCATGACGCAAAAATATGTATTGCTAAATTATGAAAGACAGTCAACTCTGAAATGAAATACTCAGATATCAACAATTTAGCCAATAATGGAGATTAGGTTGAATCAGTCATATTTCAATATGTATTATATTCATATTCATACTAACCGAAGAAGGCTGTTATTATATTCGTGTACGTGATAGTGAGTGAGCGAGTTATAATGATGTTGCGCCGCTTTAAGAAGTATTCATTCTCACAATCATGGGGGACCTCATAAATGGGTTTCAGACATTGCACTTACCCGGGCCTTCAACGTTACGGGCCAACATTGTACCCACAACAGGCAACCCGACTGCCGTCAATATTTTTATGCCCAAACACAGCTTAAGTAATAAAGTTTGGGGATTATTGCACTTATATCGCGACGTGCATGCTCGTGCGTGTGTGTGTCTGCTTGTACTAGTCCGGACAAATGCTGATTTTATAGTGCTAGCCCACTGAGACTCCGAGCCGACCAGTTCTTGTTTTAGCCCCTTAATGACCAGCGCCAGGCAGGGTAACAACAAGTACAAACTTTTAACGGCTTTTTGGTATGACGCGGCCGGGGATCAAACTCCGGACCTTCCGCTCTCCGGACGGACGCTCTACCATGAGACCACGGAGGTGGTACAAATACAGCAGAATGTGTTGAAATAGTTATTGTAAGTATGGGGCTGATCATAAAGAAATATAAGAGCACTTTCTGTTGTTGTTTCCAAATCGATTTCATTTTACATTACACCTTTCTGGCAGGTAGCTCCATGTCCTCCCACCCAGCCAGCATCACAGCCACCTCCACAAACTCCTGTTGTCTGGTCACAGGAGTCCCCACAGTGACAGGAGTAGAAGCAGGAGTCCCCGAACTTTCCTGTTGGACAGGAACCTGTAAAACGTACACAGAGGTGAAATACATCAAACATCAGATGCATACATTTGCGATCAAATTCACAAATATCTTCCAATCAGCACTTTTGGATAGAGTATTTAAAACTATCTGCATTACAACCTTGCACACACTCGCAGGCACGTAGGCACGCAGGCACGCAGGCACGCACGCACGCAGGCACGCAGGCACGCACGCAGGCGCGCACGCACACACACAGACTCACACGCAGGCACACACAAGGCACGCACGCACGCACACACGCACGCACGCACACATATACTCTTAAAAAAGAAACGCAAACCTTTGTGTGAGGCAGGAAAATACATACGAGGAACCGTACAAGGTATTGAGCCAAAATGTTGTGGAGAGAACACTTGGTGATTGTAGTCATCTCAGTTATCGGTACGTAGAAAAGGTCCAAGATGAAGGTCAGCTACCATCAATTACGCGTATGTTCCGCGTTAGAATCAAATCCTGGGAAATGGTAGCCTTCTCGGCCTGCAACGCAAAGGCCAACTGCTGCAACGTCTGGGGTTGTGGCTGATGTCGGCGTAGCCGTCTATCCAATTCATCCCACAGGTGCTCTATCGGGTTCAAATCAGGGGATCTGGAGGGCCAGGGGAGAACATCAACGTTGTTGTTGTGTAGACAGGCTCTTGTGATCATTGCAGGGCGAAACCGCATTATCAGTGGTTCATATTGGGAAAGGGAGGTCACTCTAATTTCAAACGGGAGCTATCTCCGTTGTTTTCGTATTTGCGAGTAATGGCGTTACCCACGCTGTACGTTGTTGGTCCAGCTATTAAATGCCCAACTTATCCCTAAGGTAAAACGTATGCGTAATTAAATGTTTGAATGCATTATATATATATGTTTCCATCCGTACATCTTCTAAGATTGGTTCAGTGGTGATAACCATTTTCTAAAATGTAGGCCCACATCTTTCCCGTCATCTATGGTGATTGAAACAAGTGGGCCCACATTTTGTATTTCGCCTAGCTTCGTTAGGTTGTTTCGTTAGTTCTATCCCTAAATGTGGGCAAACGTTCTTCCGTCATATTGATTGCAACAGGAGGGACCACATTTATTAATCGCGAAATTCTACTTAAATATTGATAATCATTTTCTCAATTGTGGGTCCACATTGTTCCCGTCATATATGGTGATCGAAACAAGTGGGCCCACATGTGTATATCGCCTAGTGGGTAGACGTTCTTCCGTCATAGTGATTGCAAAAGGAGGGACCACATTAAAAAATCGCTAGCTTCATTAGCTTGGCTTACTTAAAACCATTTTCTAAAATGTGGGCCCACATTGTTAACGTCTTATAGTGATCGAAACAGGTAGGGCCCACATTTTTAAATCGCTGGGTTTCATTAGGTTGACGAAGTCATTTAGGCTAGTGGGCTCACGTTTGTCATTATGTGACATTATATATTATTCATATTTTGTAATATTGATGGGAAATATCTTTATAAATCATTTCGTGTGACATGAATTCCATGAAAGGCACAAAAGTCTTTGAAGTTTGAATAACTGCGTCATAGCTGACCACACTAGTTTTACAAAAATAGCTACCAAGCAAGAAACTTAAATCTACTTCAAATTAAATTTACAGAGGCAATACCACTCATTCTACTTTTTCCAATATAACACATCAATCTAATCATAAGTGTTGGTGGCGATATAAGCCTGAAAATATGTCTACACTTGAATTGATCTCGGACATGATACAAGCCTCAAACGTTTCCGAGAACTTGTTCCATAAAAGGAATAACTCATGAATATTAATGACCCCACGACCTAGTTTGGCGATGTTCGTAGAAGTGAGTTCTGCTGTATTGCCATCTTATTTGTACATTTTAATCCAATTATAAGTCATAATACTTATTTGAAATAGACCTTCATGAGTTCGTTATGCGGGTTTGTTTACGTAGTATATATTCTCAAAAACAAGTGCGTTTAGTTTCGAATGTGGGCCCGATTCCGAACTTTCGATTAGGAAAACGGAGTTAGCTCCCTTCTCGAACCACCGATAATGCGGTTTCGCCCATTGCAGTATGCGGTCGAGCGTTGTCCCGCTGGAATACAATTGCGACTCTGTTGTCTAACGCGAGTCACCACTGGGAATAGTGTCCGTCTCTGGTCAGGGACGTCCTCAAGGTTTGACCAATTACTTGTACATCAAATGGCCTTCATGAAAAAACAAACAGTGCCGCTCAAATAAGCTAAGTGAAGTACGTAGATCATAGACTACAGATGGATCCACTGTTCACAGACACTTAACATTGTCAGCAGAGTGGAAACTGAAGTCTTGGTGCACATGCTGGTTAGAGTTCCCATCTACAGCTTTGTCTGCAGACCAGGCAGATGACCACAGTCGAGTAGGGGATGAACATTTCACTCAAGTAATGAACACAAGTAGTGTTCAGAATAGATATTACACTGTACGAGGCATACATATTCCTTCAAAATCAAACCATACATTCAAACGCATCGATGCCTAAAATGGTATTTATATTACTTGTAACAGTAACATGTTGTATGGATATGTTGACAGAAAAGGGTGAATCCAGAATATGAACCCTCGACACCCACCCAAACACCCACCCAAACACCCACCCAACCAATCGCCCAAGCAAATACTCACTCGTGGGCAAATCCAGGAAACTTACGCTCTACACGACGATAGGGACAACATGTTGTACATTAAGTTGCAGCCACCTTTGTTCGAATAACCTTTGAGTACATATATCCTGCATTGCGTTATCAAATTTATTTTATACCTTTCAAATGGTTTTTGTGAAAACATGTACGCAGACTAAGCATTCAATTCATAGTTATCATGATTGTGTTTCGGGGTTTGTCTGCAATATGCCAGTGTTCTCTGGTTTCATCACACTGGCAAACATCTTGCCTGCCTGCCTGCATCACTTTGGGTCTTCCTTTCCGCGAACACCTGGTGTCATTTCTACTTGAAAGTGATTCATAAACACATGCTCATGAGATAAGTCGGAATTGTACAATCGACTCTGCTTTATGCACAGAATTCTATTGGATAAGGAAAGGGTTTTGTCGCTTTATTTACACATCAATCTGACAGCCTCAACCTGACTCGCACTTATATAAGTGAAATACTATCACAGTGAAACTCACTCAATCTAACCGGCCATAAACACTCAAATACACTCCGAAACTCACTCACTCACTCAGCCACCCAAACACCAATCCACCCGCCCGAGCACACTCACTCACTCACTCACTCACTAACTCACTCACTCACTCACTCACTCCCTTCCTTTTCCATGTCCTTCCACCCAGTCCCTATCATAGACATCTCCACAAACACCAGTTTCCTAGTTACAGTATTGTCCTCAGAGACAGGAATATAGCTTCAAGAATCTCCGAACGTTCCCCGAGAACATGAACATAAATTTTAAGGTCGCGTTCAAGATTATTTCACTCATAAAGGAAGAACATGAATTAGTCCTTATGTCTTGTTAGTGCAATCTCATTAAGATACCATGTCGCACTTTGTAATTTTGACTCACACGTTGTAGAGCCTCCGAGTCGAGCAGTCCTTACTTTACCCCTAACTTTCAGCCACAGACAGCGTAACAGCAAGTGTAATCATTTAATGACTTTGGTATGACACGACTGGGGAATCGAACCATCGACCTCTTCCCCTCTTCAGACACAGAGGTTTGTTCAACAGATGGTAGTAATCCAATTATATTACATTCATTTTGTCTTAACCTTTGCTATAAAACATCGTTTCTGATTCACTTTACATCACCATCTTCTACAACTTTATACCCCCGTTTAAGCAAGCCATTAACTGTAATACCGTCGTGCTCAGTGTTGTTTACAGTGATTGTCTTGGCTAAAACTCTCGTGCAACAAGAATGCAAAATTAGGTAGTGACATTACAGTAATCGATATACAGATAAATTGTATATCAAATAAGGAAGCATGATGTGTCACTCACCAATGATAACCTGTATCCAGCAAGCCGATGTGACCACGATGACAGTCAGTATCCACACACCCGCCATGTTTGACAGCCAGGACGTAGTATCCGCTTGACTGTATAGCTGGGACACCTGGCGTTGCCCGCCTTCAAAATAAACATGGATGTCTGGGGGCTGCTTACATACAATGTTAATATATGATATGCATGGCTGTCTTTGTCCTTTATCATGCGAGTTAACATAGAGAAGGCTCAGAATTCATATTCAAGCAAACATTAAGTCTCTCTGTCAACTCGTTACAGAAAGGATATGTTTGGTGGTTTTATGGTATACAGCTTAAATATGTCGGAACTTGAAGTGTGTTGTAATACATAACGTGGACACGTTTATGGCCAAGTCACAGTTTCTGATGGGATGTTATTGTTGGGTGTCCGATACACAATCCCCGTTTTTCATAAAATGAGAAAATATCTGAAATGCATTTATGTCTTCATCCTTTATCATGCAAGTAAACAAAGAAAAGGCTCAGAATTCATTTCGTTCAACTCGTCAAGGAAAGGATATGTTGATGCACGGATTTCAAAATATAATTCGTAAATTAAGTATATTTCAATACATAGCATGAGCACATTTTATGATGGTATGTCTTTGTTAGGTGTCCCATTTACGATCACCGCATGAAGTGAGAAAAGTCTACCTTCCTCAATTTATGAAATAGACACGATCAATGTTTTACATAAGTTGCATGGATGCGACACACACACAAAGAAGTCATTTGTGAATGAAACATACACTCTTCCCCAGTGTGTTATGGTACTTAGGACAAACCATAATAATATAATTAATGAGAGTTACACAAACGACTTTTGTGTTATAGTCGGCATTGGCTAGTGTAACCATCGACGAAATGGAGGGTATTAAAGCAGATGTTGCATGCTTAATTTCTAAGACAGTTATACCACCGAAATAGTGCGGATAGGTGAAAACATCCATATATTGTGTAACGTAATCGCACAAATCCAAGCTGCAGTACACAAATTGGGGTAAGGTCTATCAGGAAAAACACACAGCTTCCTCCTAGTGTTAGATAAACGTTATGATGTTATGATTATAAATGATAAAGGCATAGGCTATTGGAGTACGTTATCAGATTGAGGTATATGTATGTTTAAAACTCAGCTTGAAGGGATGTACATCACAGCATGATGTGATTTGAGAACTAGTATACTTCCCTGTCACAATAGCAATACTTAACAACACCTCTACTAAATGGTTGTAATTTACAACTTACTCGCTGTACATAGTTGTATGCCTTAGGCATGCCCAAAACCTATTTAAAGTGGGTTCGAATCTGAGTGTGGTTATAGGTTTATCAGTACATACATCTCTTCGTGGGCTTCACAATGTGGCAAACGTCTGAGACTTGCACCACGTCGAGCTTTCCTTTATACCAAGCGTGATATTGCTGAAAGTCTGTACAATTTGGGTGTCACCAAACTCACTCACTTAATCAATGCAACTTACATACATTGTAGAGTGTGGATGTGTCTTCTTATTCCTTATTCAAATGTGTGGATAGTTATACACGAAATGTCAATGTTGTTTACAGGTGTGGTTTGTGTTTAACTGAATAGGAAACAAGTAAAGAACTTACATCACGTATGCGATTGTTTGTTCATGATTTACCTATGATATGGATAATCACTTTGCAACAATCCAGTCCAATATTTTTTCGGGCGATCGCGCGTATGAACTATAATGCACGTGATACGCGTTGTCCATCAGATTGAAAGCTACAGGACATGTTTGTGCCTCTCTCACTGGAGTCACACTCGCTATGTACAATAATGCATTCATGTACATAAACAGTGTTGGAATGTTTTACACATTAAGTACATAAGCAACTGTATATGATAATTTTATAATGTGAAATTAATGTTTCTTCCTTAAATTGGGTCAATACTGGATTCTGATTGGCCAATCAGATGTATAAACCCCAATAACCACCTCGGACTAAAGCAGCCGATTTGACGACAGTACCACCAGGGACGATATACAAACATTTTTCTCATTCATTGGTGATAGGCACTTTTAAATGACTATATATATATAAATATAGTGCAGATTCGGGGTAACTGTTAAATTCAAAGTATATGAGATAATACGCAATTCGGTATTTTGACTTGTCCTTAACGGTCCCATATTTTTTCAGGTGAACAGTTGCCTAGACTTTGCACGTGTTTGTGACTTGTGAGAAGGATTGGCTTACCTTGTCGCGAAATATTTGTATCATCACTTTTTGATAGTGATTCATTAACACATGTTGTCGGTATCGTACAATGGACTGCTTTTAGCAGATATTTCTTACGATCATGGACAGGGATTCTTTCGCTCACTATTGAAATTTGGTGCCTCTCTGTTAGCGACCGTGACGTAATAGTTTCTGCGTCCCAATGAGCGGTGTGATGTCACAATAGTCACGCGAGGTGTACAACTAAACATTACAAGGCTTAGTTACTCTTCTTTCGGGGCGCCCACTAAACGCTGGCCTTCACCCGTTCTATGCCTATTGTGTAACAGTTTATGGGGCTTTCAGTATATTTATCATCCTGTTATCATCATTGATTATATTATTTGTTATTGATTTATTATTTTGACGCCACAACGTTGACAGTCAGTCATCTGAACACCCACCATGTTGGACGACCGGGAAGTTGTTTACACTTCCGTGTTTTCCAACACAGGCGATTACCACAGGTCGGGTGTCTCTGTCATTACAAAAGGTCGTTTGACATAGAAAAATATTAACAGTGATCGTCAGCGAGCTTGGATGATCAATCAAACGTGACCATGTACAAAATTTTGAAAAGCTGATACACGTACACAGTGTCACTATAAAAGGGTGTGAACTGTATTTTTAAACTGTAAAAAAATGAAATCCCATGAACAGAACATTAGTGACGGATGTAATTCAGGGGTAACTGTGCACGTATCTGTTTACCTGTGTTAGCTTAGTCTTGAAGTAAAGCCCGAAGTGAGTCAGGCCAGTGAGGTGTATTCTATGAAGAATGCGTGTACTTGAACGGTCCTCAGAAACCAAGAATCATAATAAGTGCATATCAAGGATCCAGGATTCTGGCACGCCTAAGTCACCTAACTCTGTTCAGAGAATTGCGGGCCTCAGACGATTGGTATCCATACCATCTTCTTCGTTGCTACTGTAGTATTCACACAATGTCTGTGTTGTATTCAATGAATGTCTGTGTTAATCACACAATGTCTGTGTAGTATTCACACAATGCCTGTGTTGTAATCTCAAAATGTCTGTGTTGTATTCACAAAATGTCCGTGTTGTATTCACAAAATGCCTGTGTTGTATTCACACAATGTCTGTGTTATATTCACACAATGTCTGTGTTGCATTCACACAATGTCTGTGTTGTATTCACACAATGTCTGTGTAGTATTCACACCATGTCTGTGTCGTATTTACACAATGTCTGTGTTGCATTTACACAATGCCTTTGTCGTATTCATACAATGTCGGTGTTGTATTCACACAATGTCTTTGTTGTATTCACATAATGTCTGTGTTGCATTCTCACAATGTCTTTGTTGTATTCACACAATGTCTATGTTGCATTCACACGTCCGTGTTGTATTCACACAATGTCTGTGTTGTATTCAAACAATGTCTGTTGTGTTCAAACAATGTCTGTTGTGTTCACACAATGTCTGTGTTGTATTCACACAATGTCTGTGTTGTATTCACACAATGTCTGTGTTGTATTCACACAATGCCTGTGTTGCATTCACACGTCTGTGTTGTATTCACACAATGTCTGTGTTGTATTCACACAATGTCTGTTGTCTTCACACAATGTCTGTGTTGTATTCAAAAAATATCTGTGTTGTATTCACACATTGTCTGTTGTATTCACAAAATGTCTGTGTTGCATTCACACAATGTCTGTGTTGCATTCACACAATGTCTGTGTTTTATTCAAACAATGTCTGTTTTGTATTCACACAATGTCTGTTGTATTCACACAGTTTCTGTGTTGCATTCACACAATGTCTGTGTTTTATTCAAACAATGTCTGTTTTGTATTCACACAATGTCTGTTGTATTCACACAGTTTCTGTGTTGCATTCACACAATGTCTGTGTTTTATTCAAACAATTTCTGTTTTGTATGCACACAATGTCGGTTTTGTATTCACTCAATGTCTGTGTTGTATTCACACAATGTCTGTGTTGTATTCACACAATGCCAGTGTAGTATTCACACAATGTCTCTGTTGTATTCACTCAATGACTGTGTTGTATTCACACAATGTCTGTGTTGTATTCACACAATGTCTGTGTTGTCTTCACACAATGTCTGTGTTCTATTCACACAATGCCAGTGTAGTATTCACACAATGTCTGTGTCCTATTCACACAATGTCTGTGTTTTATTCAAACAATGTCTGTGTTGCATTCACACAATGTATGTGTTGTATTCACACAATGCCAGTGTTCTATTCACACAATGTCTGTGTTCTATTCACACACTGCCAGTGTAGTATTCACACAATGTCTGTGTTGTATTCACTCAATGACTGTGTTGTATTCACACAATGTCTGTGTTGTATTCACACAATGTCTGTGTTGTATTCACACAATGTCTGTGTTGTATTCACTCAACGTCTGTGTTGTATTCACACAATGTCTGTGTTGTATTCACACAATGCCAGTGTTGTATTCACACAATGCCAGTGTTCTATTCACACAATGCCAGTGTAGTATTCACACAATGTCGGTGTTGTATTAACACAATGTCTGTGTTGTCTTCACACAATGCCCGTGTTGTATTCACACAATTCCTGTGTTGTATTAACACAATGTCTGTGTTGTCTTCACACAATGTCTGTGTTGCATTCACACAATGTCTGTGTTTTATTCAAACAATGTCTGTTTTGTATTCACACAATGTCTGTTGTATTCACACAGTTTCTGTGTTGCATTCACACAATGTCTGTGTTTTATTCAAACAATTTCTGTTTTGTATGCACACAATGTCGGTTTTGTATTCACTCAATGTCTGTGTTGTATTCACACAATGTCTGTGTTGTAT